CAATAAAAGGTGAAAGGGGGTAATAAAAGTAGAAAGCCCCCTGTAGACAACAGATATCATTTAGTGCCCCTATTCAGAGTTATTTAGATTAACTGGTGCCAGAGAATAGCCCTTTTCCCTTTATCCCACTAAGGTATCAAACAGAGATCTGGGTAGTCATTTCCCTCTAAAAGCACGAACTTTATGTCTGTTAGTAGCTGTTACGTCAGTAGCAGCTAGGGAGACAGTAAAGGGGCAGTTATATTGCATACCTGTTCATCCAGCATCTACCTTTTGGCTATTGTAAATAGTGCTGCAATGAACATTAGTGTACGGGTATCTGTTTGTATTCCTGCTTTCATTTGAGTATATACTTAGGTGTGGAATTGCTGAATTATATGATAGTTTTATGTTTTAACTTTTCGAGGAATTGCCAAACTATTTTCCATAGCAGCTGTACCGTTTTACATTCCCACCAGAAATGGATGAGGATTCCATAAAGATACTTTTGTGTGTTTGTGTGTGTGTGTGTGTTTGGTGAAAGTTTACACAGGAAATTAGGTTCTCATTTACCAATTTTTGTACGTATCATTCAGTAACATTGGTTATGTTCTTCACAATATATCAGGATTCTCATTATTTCCATTTTGGTTGTTCTGTTTCCATTAATTTAGCTTCCCTGTCCCCCGTAGCCTTCTCATCGTTGGTCTAGGGTAAATGTTAACTATTTGGTTTCATCTAGACAATTATTTTGAGGAGCACAGTACCCACAGGTGATATTTATTTTATGGGCCAGTCTGTCATTTGGCTGAAAGGTGATCTCTGGGCATGGTTTGAGTTCTAAGTTTAAAGAGTTTCTCAGGACGGTAGTCTCAAGGATTCATCTAATCTCTACTGGTCCAGTAAGTCTGGCTTTTTTTTAGGAATTTGAGTTTTTTCTACATTTTTCTCCCATTCTGTGTGGAACCATCTATTCAGTCCATAGTCGGAACAGTCAGTAGTGGTAGCTGGGCACCATCTAGTTCTTCTTGTCTCAAGGTAGGTGATATTATTGTTCATGTCGACTCTTGGTTCTGTAGACTAGTTTCTTCTTTGAATCTTTGGTTTCTGTCTTACTCTTTAGCTCTGGACGAGCGGAGACCAATAGTTGGTCTTCCAAGCTTTTGAGACCCCAGACCCCGCTACTTATCAAACTAGGATGTCGTTATGGACTATATTATGCCAATTAACTGAGCTGTCTCATGAGACAATGGTCCTAAGCCCTCAAACCTAGTAAATGAATCCTGTGAGTTGTCTGGTGTGTCTAGAAGGTATCCATAACTGTGCCCCCATGTGCTTTATTTTATGCTTAAAAATATATGCAGCACACATAAACATATATACACACACACACACATATATATGCCTACAGTTATTCATATATACCTTCATGTACATATTTATGTATACTTACATATCTCTGTAACCAAACACACATTTTTTAGTTGTTAGTACTATTGTCACAAAATTGGATGTCCCCCAATGAATTTTGTTTAACAAATTTCTGGATAAATTGTTCATTGACACTAGTTACATTTATCACAGTTTGTCAGCATTCTCTTTGTGTCTGTACCCTTCTATTATGCTCAAACACTCATCTTTACTATGGTTGTGCTGTGCTCACTACTTCTGCGCTCGGAGCCACATTTCCCATCACGAAAAGTAGCAAGTCTCTAAGTTTTAAATTGTACTTACCCCCTCTTCTCCCTGGTGACCACCAATGAATATTGGTGTCTCTATATTTATCTGTTCTTGCCTTTCGTATAAAAAAGGGATCATACAATATTTGTCCTTATATACTTATTTCACTTAGCATTATGCCATCCAGGTCCATCATGTTATGTTTCCTGGCCAGGCTTACCATTGTTCTTTATGGTTGTGTAATATATTTATGTGTATGTACCACAATTTGCTTGTTCTTTCGTCTGTTGATGGCCACTTTGGTTGTTTCCATTGTTTTGCTATTGTGAATAAAGTTTCAGTGAACATAGGAGTGCATGTATCTGGTCTTGTCAGTAGTTTCAGTTCTCTAGGGTATATTCCTAGGAGTGGGATTGCTGGATTGGAAGGTAGCTCTATTTCCAGTTTTTTGAGGAAGCACCAAACCATTTTCCATAGTGGTTGTACCATTTTACAGTCCCACCAGCAATGAATAAGGATTCCAGTCTCCCCACATCCTCACCATCATTTGTTTTCTGTTTTTTTTTTTTTTTTTAAATCAGTGCCATTTTAGTAGGAGTGAGATGGTGTCTCATTGTAGTTTGATTTGTATCCCTCTAACGGCTAATGATCGTGAGCATCTTTTCATGTGTTTGTTGGCTGCTTGTATGTCTTCTTCTTTGGTGAAGGTTCTGTTCATATCCTTTGCCCATTTTAAAATCGGGTTGTCTTTTTGTTGTTGAGTTGTTGAAGTGTTCTGTAAATTTTAGAGATTAGACCCTTAGCTGATAAGTCTTTTCTGAAAATTTTTCCCAGTTTGTAGGTTCTCTTTTTACTCTTTTGATGAGCAAAAGTTTATAGTTTTTATGCGATCCCATTTATCTATTTTGTAATGCCTGTTATCCTATTTTTACAGAAAATTAGGTCCCGTAGTTTTCTCCCAGCAATTTATGGTTTTAGGTTTGACATTTGGGTCTTTGTTCCATTTTGAGTTAGTTAGCTTTTGTGTTTGGTGTGACATATGGGTCCTATTTCAATTTTCTGCAGGGGGAGATCCAGTTTTGCCAGAACTGTTTATTAAAGAGACTGTCTCTGCCCTACTGGATGGACTTTGACCGCTTGTCAAAGATCAGTTGTCCATAGATGTTTAGGTTTAGTTCTTAGTTCTCAATTCTATTCCATTGGTCTATGTGTCTGTCATTGAACCAGTACCAGGCTGTTTTGATTACAGTGACTATATTAGTATGTTTTGATATCAGGGAATGTGAGGACTGCTGCTTTGTTCTTTTTTTCTTTAATATTGCTTTGGCTATTTGGGGTTTCTTTCCTTTCTGTATGAAGTTGGTCATCAGTTTTTCCACTTCGGTAAAGAATGTTGTTGGGATTTGTGTCAGGATTGCATTGAATCTGTCGATCACTTTAGGTAGTATTGACATATATAGTATTGACTATATTAAGCCTTCCTTTTCATGAGCCCTGGTGGCATAGTGGTAAAGTACTGTGGCTGCTAACCAAAAGATCGGCATTTTGAATCCACCAGCTGATCCTTGGAAACCCTATGGGGCAGTTCTGCTCTGTCCTGTAGGGCCACTAAGTCAGAATCAACTCGATGCCAGTGGATTTGTTTTTTTTTTAACTCATGAGCACAGATGTCTTCCATTTTTTAGGTCTCTTTTGGTCTCTTGTAGTAGTGTTTTATGATTCTCATTGTATAAATCTTTTATGTCCCTGGTTAGGTTAATCCCTAGGTATTTTATCGGTTTGGGGGCTATTGTAAATGGTCTCATTTTCTTGATTTATTTTTTGGAGTAGTCTTTTGTTAGTGTAGAGCAACCCAGCTGATTGTGTGTTGATCTTGTATCCTGCAGCGTTGCTAAATTCTTTTGTTAGTTCTAGCAGTTTTCTTGTGGAGTCCTGAAGATACTTTTTTATTAAGATTTCTACTATTCAAACGGGCCTTTTTTCCCTGGAGTTGTTTTCTGTAGGTTGTTGATGTATTTGACAGCATCTCCTTTGCCTCTGCTTTTGAAACCACAGGTTCTTGTAAAGATTATTTTTTCTTCTGTAGGTTCCCATTGGTTGCCAAGGGCTTTTGTGATAGGGCAGTCATATATGTTTAGATTGGGTGTTTGTAAGTTGAACCTTTAATGGGAAATAAACAACAACAGTAACATGGTCTATATATGGGTGTAGATGTGGTGTTGTTGTTGTTGTTAGGTGCCGTCAAGTCTATTTTGACTCATAGTGACCCCATGTGACAGAATAGAACTGCCCCATACGGTTTTCTTGGCTGTAATCTTTATGGAAGCAGATCTTCAGGTCTTTCTTCCACAGAGCCACTGGGTGGGTTTGAACCGCCAAACTTTCAGTTAGCAGGCAAGCACTTAACCATTGTGCCACCAGAGCTTTTTATGTATTTATTATACATTTATGTGTATATATATGTACACACACACATATATATCTTTTAAAAACTTTAGTCATTGCCCTAGGATTTATAATATACATCTTTAATCATAGTCTACCTTCAAGTAATATACCACTTCACATGAAGTATAAGAACCTTACAACAGCATACTCCCAGTTCTTCCTTCCTTAATATTTATTAACAGTAAATTCTATTGTGTCATACATTTTACTTTCACATATTCTGTTTTTAAATTATGGAGATGGACTTTGCAAACTTTAGTGACTATATCTTTCTTTAATAACCCTCACTGTTAAGATATAAACTTTGTCACAGTTTTAAGATTCATAAATTTGTACTAGGATACAGGTGGAGAGTTAAGCATATAAAGAAACAATAAGGAAAAAAGCCGTAGCCTAACAGAGTCAGAGTGCTGTAAAGGAGCTTCAAACAGCTAGAATAACATTTTTATCCCATCCTTACCACTTTTTCTTCAGTATTAATAATTTAATTACTCTTAAGTTAAAATTTAAATTTGTTTTCTCCATTTCCTGTATGATTGTTCATTCTGTTCTTTTTCTTTGTCTGACTGAAGATTTTTAGCTAGTTCTCACATTCTGGGATTCTTAGGTGTATATTTCAGCTTTGAGTTTTTTTAACCAACAGATTAATTGGTAATTTATGATTCTTTATGATTTATAGACATGTAGATAAAGCCAGTAATCTCTCTTCTTACATTAGTATACTTTCTTTTCTTAGACATAATTCTGGAGAAAAAAAAAAGTTTTTTGTCATCATGGGTGGGTTAGGACAGCTGAAAAGCTTTGTTATTTTTTTTCTTGAGAAATACAGAGTGCAACTAATATATTAATTAGCTGTTTTTCCTTCAAAAAATTTTTTTTTCCTTCATTTATAGTACTTGTGTGGTAGTAATCGAAAAGACAATATATTTATTGATCCAGGATACCAGACATTTGAGCAAGAGTTGAATAAAATACTTCGAAGTTGGCAACCAAGCATACTTCCAGATGGTAATGCTCTTTTATTGTGAATCTTTTGTACAGTATTTTACCTACCAAGATAAGGTGTACAAAATAATATAAACTAAATTGAATGTATATCATTATTAGAGAAAATAAATTTTAAATAAAATTGTTGCTAATTTGATACTGGCATTTTTATTTTTGCAGAAAGTATGTTAAAAATAATTAGGAAAAATTTGAATTAGGTATCATATTTTTCAGAGTATTTAATTCATGAGTTCTCATCTGTTCATCTTTTGTTGAATTAGAAATAAATCTGTTCAATAACCACTGTTTATGAAGAACTTTAAGAAATGTGACCTGCTTTGCTGCTGTTCTTCAGTAGAACAAACAGACAGTGATTAGGAAGAGATTTAACTCTGGTTTCCATTCACTTTCACATATTTTCCTTACACATCTTGAACAGAGATTTAAGAGAAATTTTCATCAGAATCTCCACTGGAGTACTTAAGAAGTAAACATTGAGTTCCTTACTCCAGTGATGTTAGTCTGATATGAATGGCCTGGTATCATCTCTAAAAAGCTGCACAGATAATTCTGAAATTCATTCCAGTTTACCTGGTATGAATGGAGGATTAATATAGGATTGTTCTTGAATTAACCTTATCTAGGTGGTTAAATGAAAAATATCTTATTTATTATAATTATTTTAAAATAGTTCTCTCTATTTAAGGGTCAATATTCTCTCGAGTGGAAGAAGATTATCTCTGGAGGATAAAACAACTAGGATCACACTCTCCAGTAGCTCTTCTGAACACCCTGTTCTACTTTAACACTAAGTATTTTGGCCTGAAAACAGTGGAACAACACTTAAGACTTTCCTTTGGCACTGTGTTCAGGCATTGGAAAAAAAATCCTTTAACAATGGAAAACAAAGCATGTCTTCGATACCAAGTATCTTCCTTATGTGGAACAGATAATGAAGGTAGCGTATCAGGTTTTTATTCTGGTATTATCTGTGGCAGGGATATCCACACCTTGCCTTACTAAGGACTACCTGGGTCATTTGTTAAGAAACTGAAGACTGTTACTTTAATAAAATAAGACAACCTTTGTCTTCTTAAAACATCTTCAGTTCGTTTTGTTTGAAAAATTACAAATTACTAGGAACCACAACTTAGAACTCTGAAGGATACCTATTTCCATTCTTTGGTATACCAGACACTAGGAGTGAATAAAGCTATCTTGCTTCAAGATTGATCACAGGAGGTTTATTCAACTTTTATTTTTTAAGATAAAATTACAACTGGAAAAAGAAAACATGAAGATGATGAGCCAGTATTTGAACAAATTGAAAACACAGCCAATCCTTCTAGATGTCCTGTGAAAATGTTTGAATGCTACTTGTCTAAAAGGTAAGTGTTAATGATACTCTTCTTTTTTACCTGGTAGTACAAGTTGATTGGTTCAAATTTAACATTACCAAGAGGTGATATGTTTTCACTGATATTTTTTAAGATTTCTCTCATTCCTCACTTATCCAAGTCCATTTAGTTATAACTTTTTTTAGTTGCATTATTATAAAATATCCAGTTTATAATTTGTACTTTAGGATTCAAGTATACGTTAAGAAATTACAATGATTCCAATGACTGTGTAAAGCAGAGGCCACAACTTTTTCTGTAAAGGGTCAGATGTTGTTAGTTGCCGATGAGTAGATTCCAACTCATGGCGACCCTGTGTGTGCAGAGTAGATCAGCTCCATAGGGTTTTCAAGTCTGTGACCTTTCAGAGGCAGATTGCCAGGCCTGTCTTCCAAGGCACCTGTGGGTGAGTTTGAACCACCAGCGTTTTTGCTAGTAGTCAAGTACTTAACTATTTGCACCGCCCAGAGACTCCTAAAGGGTCAGAGAGTAAAAATTTTTTTAGCTTTATAGGCTAATAGAATCTCTATTGCAGCTACTCAGTTTTGCTGCTGTAGCCAGAAAGCACAGGTTTTTATTTTGTATACTATATGTAAATGAATAAGCATGGCTGTGTTAAAATAAAACTTTATTTATGTGAAAAGGTGGCAGGCTATATATATACTTTGCTAACCCATGGTATGTAGATATGTTCAAAGGTAGAGTAGATTGATGGAGATAAATGAAGTATTTAGAAAATAGCCCTTTAAGAAGTTTTGAAAGAAAGATTTAAGAGTGTTCTGAAAGTATAGGTAGTCCCCGACTTATTCAGTGTAACCAGGAACCACACTTAATGAGCATCTTTGTGGTTTTGGTTTTTGCTTCTTTTGGGGGAGGTGGGTACATCTTATCATTAGTTGTCTGTATGTATTAAAATATATCTGTAAGTTTATATGTAGGTTTCCAACCCCAAAAGACAAATAAAGATCAAATTTATAAAGATACTGATAATAAAAGGCAATAATAAGGAAAACTTAAAAAAAAAAGGTATTCGATTTATGTCAAAACCAACTTATGACGGAGTCATCAGAACGGAGCTCTGTTGTAAGTCAGGGACTACCTGTACTATTCACCTGTATTACTACTGTTTTCCCCAGTCTGAGACCAAAAAGCATTAAAAGATTTTTTTAACCTAATGAAATGTTTAGGGACCATAGATTATTTTATGCTTGTCCATTAATTAAACACTCTCAAACTTTCGAAAGATTAGTATGGACTCAGAGTGTACTTCGTTATCTAAACGATTTTATAAATTATAGTTAGATCTCCAGGATAACCCCCAAGAACCTATAAAAACAATATCACTTACAGTAGAATAGCAGTATTTCTGACCGTGGTTTGGGTAGCTCTGTTGGCTGCAGCAGTATCAGGGTCTTGCAGTAGTAGTAATTATTTGTTAGTTGGAAGTTCCTCTCTCTCAGTATCATTTTGTTGGTATGTTTTAAATAAAGGGTCTATTGTGTAATGCTGTAAGTAGTTTTATGTACTGCCATGTATCATCAGTTCTAAGACTCTTACATTTTAATATCGCTGAAATATGAGGTTCATCTTAAAATGATAATTGGCAGTGTTTTACTTGTTTAGTGGTAACATTAAAATAAGTGTTTCTTACAATTGATGGTGTCTTAGGTTCAGTGAAATACAGAGTTTAAATCATGGTGGGGAAATAATTATTTTATCATGGAAATTAATTTTAAAAATATTTTAATAACAGTGAGGTATATGGTTTAATTACATAATGTGATCAGTGGGATCAGAATTATCCTTGAAAGAAGAAAATTTGTGGGAAATTTTATGTATGTACTGTGATTTGACTTTCTTCTTTTCTCTCCTCCTCTCCCCTAAAGTCCACAGAATCTTAACCAGAGAATGGATGTTTTTTACTTGCAACCAGAATGCTCTAGTTCTACAGATAGCCCTGTCTGGTACACATCTACTTCACTGGACCGAAACACCTTGGAAAATATGCTTGTACGGGTTCTTTTAGTAAAAGATATTTATGATAAAGACAATTATGAACTGGATGAAGACACAGACTAAAATGGAATGTTTCGGACACAACCGGGATAAAACAGCATTAGATAGTCATGCTGCTAGATCTTTATTACAGAAAACATTTCAAGTTTACTCCTTCTGTTTTAAGTTTTGTAGCAGTGTACCCAAACTGGGTATTACCATGTAAATAATCTGTGAGTGAAAGTTGCCATTATTCTATGTAGTGGTTTTAGAATACTTAACAAATACATTCAAAGGTTGTTTTTTATTATTATTATTATTATTATTTATTTGATTAGGTATGTTTGTGACTTTTTACATTACAAAATATGAATGAGAATGTGCCATGTGTAATTTTTTTCTTGTAGTAGGAAACATCCATATTGCACAACCCTGCTGTCGCAAAGCTTTCTTGAAAGGGGACTCTTTTACTGGGTTCTTAACCAGATGGTTGTGTATGGGTAGCACTACTAAAAGTTTAGAACTTGCAGTGTCTTTCAGAATTTTAAAAATAAACTGTAAACTAATAGGTTGGGTTTTTTTGTTATTTTTGTTTTATGTTTTAGTTACTGAAGCCTTACAAGGTTATGTAGAGAATACCATCTTCTGTACCAAAAATAGACAAGAGAATGCTGTCAATATTGGTGTACTGTAATGTGAATCTATACTGGTGAAAACGACTTTTTGTTCTCCATATTAAAACCTCAGTGTCTTTTTTTTCATTTGTGGCTTTCTGCATCACCCCTATAAATAAAACATATATGTATATATGTATATATATATATGTGTGTGTGTGTATATATATATATATGTATATATATAAAGAATGACCATAAGTTGAAAACATGATCATCAAGACATTTTCTTTGTAAAAATGTCTGATGAAAGTATAAAATCCTTTTGTTTCCTCTCCATATCAACCTTAAGTATCTGAAATCTCCTTCATTTATAGAGGTTTCGTTTTTCTTTTTTTTCTTTTTTTGCCCTTAGCGGTATATGGATCATGCTGCAATATTACCTGAGTAGAGTACTCTAAAACTTTACCAGTTTTATTAGAATTCTCATGCCTGTCCTCAAATATGACTGATTTCATACATTGAATAAAATTATTTTTAGAAATGCCACTTCTGAAATAGTTATTATAGAAACTCAAGCTACTTTAAGTAAGATAATATCACGTTTTACTATGAAGATTGTCAGTGTAATAATTCTGATATTTCACATGACTGAAGAACAAAGAAACTGATGGTTAAAGTATATCTCAAAGGAAATCATATTTGATATTAAATTGTTTGGCTTTTAAAATTTGATTATTTCTTATAGAAGATTGCATTAAAAAAAGCTTTGTGCTTCTGCATAGCATTTTATCCATTCAGATCTTTTAGAATAAGGACATTTATTTAAAATCCTACTTTCTAAAGACTGAGCAAAATACTAGGCACATATTATCATAAATCTTATGGCTAACTTCCTATAGCGTGTGTATAATCATGTCATTTTCTTGTTTCTAGTTCCTGAATCACCATGGTGACATTAGTTTTTAAAAATTGTTGCATGAAAATCAGTCTATTTTCCACAGTGGGTAGGCAATTTCTACATATCCTTTACATATTGCCTTCTCCCTTAGGATGAATGTTAGCCACAAAAGAAATTTTCTCATTCATGATTTGGAAAATTTCACAGGAGTAATCATTGTGTATTTAAGCAATACGTATCTGAAATGTTTTTGGCATAGAAAATTATACTCTTCTAACTTGTTTTGTAACAGGTTGAAATAACTTTTCTGCCCCTTAATAGATTTTATAATTATTGATTAATAGACTGACAGCAAATCTGCTATTACTCTACTAAAGTAAATTGCTTATTGTCTCTTTAAGAAAAGTGGGTAACATATTTAAAATACATAGTACAAAAATTTTCTCAAACTTCTCTTTTTCCAGTATTACTTCTTTAAATACTTTTCTTATAAATGCATATTGTTGATTAAAAAGTGGTTAACCCTAACCGTTTTTTAATCTTTACAATGGTGCTATATTCCATGCAAGAGCAATAAAGTTTTTTTCCAAATATCACTTATTGTATATTTTACCAAGTACCATAAATTTCTGGCATGGTGCTGTCATTTAAGCACTTGCTATTTACATTTATTTGTAAATTTTAGCACTTCTAAAAGAAATGTCTGTGTAATTTTGATCTTGACATGATTGAGGATTTAGACATCTTGATTGCAGTCCAAGGGTTGATTAACTTGATTCTCAGGGAGAAAGAGAAAAATCTGTTTTATGAGAATTGTGTTGCTCTGTGAAACATTTCATCCAGAGCACGTTTCATTGACTTCTGGATATCTTTAGTTTGTGTGGTTATTGCTGACAACTGAGAAAAAGGACAGTAAAATAATAGGTTCTTTTTGTTTCTTGGTGATTTGTGATTATAGCATCCTGTAAATATGACTTTATTGCATTGAGATACCTATTGGAGATGCTATATTTTTCTGTTCTGAAGAGTTTGCCATTTAAAATGAGCTAATGAAAAAAAATTATCCATATTGAGAAAAATGGATTTCCCAGGCAAATTAAATCTTCATTAACACATTTCTTTAGGCTTTTAAGGTAAGAAAGCTCTCAACTTTTTTTTTTTTTTTGCCATAAAAATACTACTTGTTTAATAGTAGTTCATGTTTTTATTTTATTATATAGAGTTGTTATCAGTGTATTAAACATATTGGGGGAGGAGGAGGATGCATATATACTATGCATTCAAACGTCACGGTGTTTCTGATTGAATTATCCTTGGTGTCCTGGCCAGTTGTGATTTTTGAATGGGATAGGTTGTTTATGCATAGTATTAAATACAGTACAGTAATGGAAAAGTCATAAGATTGAAAATTTTTTGTTTACACTACCCCATTGTGGGTCCATTTATCTGAGATTTTAAATACCTTGCAGTCTAAAATCACTATAAAAATTTAATTTTTATTTTGACAGTTATTTCCAAAGTGTATTGTTATATATATGTCACTTATGTTCTAAGTTAACACCAGCTATAGGATAATCTCCTTGTTTCCTTCTAACAAAACACTCATGAAAATGTACATGAAAATATTTTTGAATAATAAATTTATTTAAATTACAATACTTCTGGATTTTCCCCCTTAATAAGCCCGTTACTCAGTTTTTAGAGAAGTTATTTGAATCTCAAGTATTACATTCTACTGTGTTCTTAGGTTTAGATTGATTTTAATGCTGTTTTCCCATGATAATTGTTCAAGTACTTTTTTGTTGTTTCTGGGCAAATTATTCTTAAAATGATAAAATATGAACAATTTTATAAATTTAGAAGTTGATGTCCAGAGCAGGCTAGCTGTGTCAGTCAGGGTCTGAGAGTAGAAACTCCTTCTTAAGCTGTATCCCAAATTGTACTTTTTTTTTTCCTTTACTTGGAAACTAGGTATTAGAGGAACACCCAAAATAAGGATGGTTGTGATCCCCCTGCTTGTAACAAACTTGACTAGAGAAGGTTGTCCCTAAAATCTGGATAGATGGTGTTCTAATTAATTACTGAGTTAAGCAAGTTCACAAACTTAGGGCTTTGAGAATCCAAAGTTTATGATGTAAATGAAATAAATTAAAAATAGAACCAAGAGAGGGCTTCTGAGGCTTATGTGTGTTCCGCCACAGGAAATCGTTGTAATCGTAGAGTGAGGGTAAGAGATGTAAATTCTAATTAAGTTTATTTTCTGTTGTAGTACTATAAAAAGAACATGAACTAAGATTAATTTTTCCCTTTCCAGCACCTTAGACTAGCTACTTTATTCTCTCTGGGCTTCAGTTTCTTTCTCGTAAGATAAAGGCATTGTCTTGAATTCTGATTCTGGAATTCAAATTGAGCACTTCAGTAATTATACTTAGAAGATTTAGTAGTAAAATTTACAAATTTGTTTGAATTCTTGAGATATATTTAGAAACATTTTCTTCTCAAGGGAAAGGATCTTTTCTAAAATAGCCTTAACTGAGAGCATATTAGACCTAAAATTTAAAAAGCCCTATTCCTGAAACTCCTCAGAAATAAATTTGCTACATGAAAATTTATTATCAGAAAGCTTAAAACAACAAACATTTATTGCATATTGCCAACCATGATAGAGAGGAAAAGAACAATAAGAAGATACTGGTGTTCTAGAAGCTTAACAGCATTTTGAGGTAGGTAAACCATTCACTAAATTCCTAGGGAACACACAGAGACTATATTTGTAATAGTTCAGAACAGAGAAGATTGTAGACCCTCAGAAATACCTTAGCAACCAGAAGAACTAGATGGTGCCCGGCTACCACCAATGACCGGGGAACACAGCAGATGGGGAACACAGCAGAGAGTCCCTGATGGAGCAGGAGAAAAGTGGGGTGCAGAACTCAAATTCTAGTAAAAAGACCAGACTTAATGGTCTGAGACTGGAGGAACCCCAGAAAGCATGGCCCCAAGACTGTCAACCCAGCACTAAAACCATTCCCGAGGCCAACTCTTCAGACGTAGAGTGGACTATGAGACATAAAGTGATACTCGTGAAGAGTGTGCTTCTTACTTAGTTCAAGTAGATACATGAGACTAAAATGGGCAGCTCCTGTCCGGAGGTGAGATGAGAAGGCAGAGACGGTCAGGAGCTGGTTGAATGAACATGGGAAATCAGGAGTAGAAAGGTGGAGTGTGCTGTCATAGTATAGGGAGAGCAATTAGGGTCACATAACTATGTATAAATTTTTGTGTGAGAGACTAACTTGAACTGTAAACTTTGACTTAAAGTACAACAAAATTTAAAAAAATACCTTAGCAGACTATTATGGTCTAGAGTAGATTTCGTAGAGAGTATTATCAGCACCTGTGAGTATATAAAACATTAGATTCCTATAGCCTTTTTAACACTAATAGCTCTGTAAGAAATGGTCAGTAGAGCAATTTCTGATACTTTAATGGTACCATTTTGATGACACTAGTCCTTATTTCTGGCTTTCAACCAAACTTAATACAAGAGTTGTTAAAAATAGCACTCTCACCATGCAGTAAAGATAATTCTAAAAGGTACTAAATCACACTGAATCAAGGTGAGTAATCCAACTTCGAGGTTACCTAGTATGGATGGAACACAGGGTTCAGTATAGCATAGGTATGTTTTTTTGGTTGCTGTTTTTTAATTTAAACCACTAAGGATTTTTCATAGCTATTGTGGAAATAGAATCTCAAATATTTTCCAATCATTTTCCAAGTACTACTCTTTACCCTGTAAGCAAGATGAAACCTTTACATTTTGATTACATAGTTGTAGTTCTAAATTGATGTCAGCAGATGGCAATAGTATACAGCCCAAGGCTTTAATTGCTTTTATTTTTTTGTTTATACTACTATACCTATTGCTATCGAGTCAATTTCAGCTCATAGCTACTCTATAGGACAAAGTAGAACTGTCCCATAGGGTTCCAAGGAGTGGCTGGTGGATTCGAACTGTCGACCTTTTTGTTAGCAGCCGAACGCTTAACCACTGTGCCACCAGGGCTCCTTATACTACTATATTTCCCATGATTACATAATAACCTTCAGTGGAGCCAGAGTAGCACCCCATAATCAAACATCAGTATTTTTGCAGCAGTACATCAGATGTTCACACTAATTGGATGAAGTCTGTAGATAAACATATATATAGTTCAGTTTCCTTTTTGTCACAAACTTAAGAAAAAACTAGTTCTTCAGAGCATTTAGAATTTCAGAATTGTAGATACAGAATTGTGGACCTGTGTAAGAAAACTAATGTCAAATTTAGTTATTTCTAATAAAGTACTTGTTTTTTTAATTGCTTAGTTTTGATAGAGATAGCTGAAAGTTTTCTGAAAATTTTGCATATCAGGTTTTAAGAAAAATGCATGGAATGCCTAGAAGAGGCATTAATATCAATGGTAGTATTAGAGACATCATGGAATTCTGAAGCACTTAAAATAACTTTGTTTTCTTATACTTTCTATTTTGCTTCAATATTTGCTGCATTATAAGTATTCATAAATACAATATACCTTAATGAACAGCTGCAGTCATGTCATGGAGACAGACATTTATTCATTCAACCAGTACTTGAGTGATTATTGTTTCAGGTACTAGCCTAGGTACTGGGACCACAAGAAGACTTAAGACCTGTCCCCTACTCTAAAGGACTTGGCCTAGTTGGGAAGAAATGGAAGTGTGATGGAATGTCAGAGTTGTTAGATGACAACTATTTGAGCACAATCACTAGTAGTTGCCATTGAGTCAATTTTTGACTTAGAGCAACCTGTGTGATAGAACTTCCCCATATAGAGTTTTCTAGGCTGTAATCTTTATAGAGGAGAAGGATGTGGCAGTATGCTGCTATAAAGATTTCAGCCTAGGAAACCCAGTGGGGGAAGTTCTACTCTGTCTGAGTTGGAATTTGACTCAACAGCAATGGGTTTAATCTTTATAGAAGGATACCACACTTTCTCCCACAGAGCGGCTGTGTGGGTTCAGCTGCCAAGCTTTGGTTAACAGCCAAGCACTTAAGCATTGCACCATCAGGGCTCCTTGACTAGTAGCATACAGGTAAAGGAACTAATAACTAGGTCAAGTAATTTATCCAAGATCCTATTCTTAATGAGACCAGCTCTTGTGTCTCCTCATTACATGCAGTTCCAGACTTTGTTATAACAATGTTTCCCATTCTCGAAAGGGAGAGGTACCAGCCTCTTGCACGCAAAGATGAAAATTGAAAAATAGTAGTGAATATCTACCAGATTGGAGTCCCTAGGTGGTACAGACAGTTAACGTGCTTGGCTGATAACTGATAGAGGTTTGAGTCCATCCAGAGGCACCTCAGAAGAAAGGCCTTATGATCTACTTTGGAAAAATCAACCATTGAAAACTCTTTTGAGTACAGTTCTACTGTGACACACATGGGGTCACTGTGACAACTGAAAATATGTGTGTGTGTGTATAGAGGAGCCCTGGTGGTGCAAGTGTTAAGCACTCAGCTGCTAACCAAAGGGTCGGTGGTTAGAGCCCACCAGCAGCTCCACGGAGAAGAGAGTTGGCAATCTGCTCCCAAGATTTACAGCCTAGGAAACTATGGTTTTGTCTATAGAGTCGCTGAGTCAAAATAGACTCAATGACACACAACAACAACATGTATGTATGTATATATACACCAGATTGAAGACTAAATGTTTAGAGGTTATTGGTGTTTTTCAATTTTTAATCAGTCACCTTGCTCCAAGAGCAGAACATATTTTATTGGAGTTCATGGAGGTAGGGAATTTCTTTTCTTCCCTGCTGTATCCCAAGCACCTAGAAAAGTTCCTGGCACAGGTGTTAATGTTGAATGAATCAATGATTATAAGTACTTTTAAATTCAGGAACTTTGATAATATTGGAAATACAACTTGTTATCCTTGAAGAAATGCCTATTTTGTTTTTTGTAATTTTTTTTTTATTGTACTTTAGGTGAAAGTTTACAGAACAACTAGTTTCTCATTAAACAATCAGTACACATGTTGTTTTATGACAGTGGTTAATAACCCCACGACATACCAACCCTCTCCCTTCTCAACCTTTTTTTTTTTTTGGTGAAAATATACATAGTCAAAGAT